TTTGAAATCTTCTGTTCAGTTCTTTTATTTCATTATTTCTTCCTTTTGGTTTAGCTACTCAATGTTTAAGAGCAAGTTTCAGAGTCTCTTCTGACATCAATTTTGGTCTTTTCTTTCTTTCCTGTCTTTTTAATGACCTCTTGCTTTCTTCATGTATGATATACTTCATGTCATTCTACAACTTGTCTGGTCTTTGGTCATTATTGCGCAATGCATCAAATCTATTCTTGAGATGGTCTGTAAATTCAGGTGGGATATACTCAAGGTCGTATTTTGGCTCTCGTGGACTTGTTCTAATTTTATTCAGTTTCAACTTGAACTTGGATATGATCAATTGATGGTCTGTTCCACAGTTGGCCCCTGGCCTTGCTCTGACTGATGATACTGAGCTTTCCCATCGTCTCTTTCCACAGATGTAGTCAATTTGATTCCTGTGTATTCCATCTGATGAAGGACCTCATAAAAATTAAATACTTTTGTTCATCAAAGGACTTTATCAAAAAAGTGAAAAGACAGCCTACAGATTGGGAGAAAATTGGGGGGGAGCATATATCCAATAGGGACCTAATATAAAAAATATATTTAAAAACAAAACAAAACTACAACTTAACAACAAAAGGACAAACAACCCAATCAAAAAAATGGGCAAATGACTTGAACAGACATTTCACTAAAGAGGCTATTCAAATGGCCAGTGTCATGAATTGAGTTGTGTCCCCCAAAAATATGTGTCAACTTTGTTAGGCCATGGTTTCCAGTATTGTGTGGTTGTCCTCCATTTTGTGACTGTAACTTTCCTATGTGTTGTAAATCCTAATCTCTGCCTGTGGTTAATGAGGCAAGATTAGATTATGTTAAAAAGGATTAGGGTGAGATTGTAACTCCCTTACTAAGGTCACATCCCTGATCCAATGTAAAGGAAGTTTCCCTGGGCTGTGGCCTGCACCACCTTTTATCTTATGAGAGATGAAAGAGAAGCAAGCAGAGAGTTGGGGACCTCATACTACAAGAAAGAAGCACCAGGAGCAGAGTGCGTCCTTTGAACCTGGGTTCCCTGGACCTGAGAAGCTCCTCGACCAGGGGAAGATTGATGATAACGACCTTCCTTCAGAGCCAACAGAAAAAGCCTTCCCCTGGAGCTGATGCCCTGAGTTCAGACTTCTAGCCTACTAGACTATGAGAGAGTAAAAGTCTGTTTGTTAAAGCCATCCACTTGTGGTATTTCTGTTAGAGCAACACTAGATAACTAAGACAGCCAACAAGCACATGGAAAGATGCTCAGTGTCATTAGCCATTAAACAAAAAACCCACTGCCATTTAGTTGATCCCAACTCATTAGCGACCCTATAGGACAGAGTAGAACTGCTCCATAGGGTTTCCAAGGCTGTAATCTTTACGGAAGCAGACTGCTACATCTTTGTCCTGCAGAGCAGCTGGTGGGTTTGAACTGCAGACCTTTCAGTTAGCAGCCGAGCACTTAACCACTGCGTCACTAGGGCTCCTTCATTAGCTATTCCCACTGCCGGCAAATCAATTCCAACTCATAGCGACCCCATAGGATTTCCAAGTCTGTAAATCTCTACGGAAGCAGACTGCCACATCTTTTTTCTGTGGAGCCACTGGTAGTTTTGAACTGCTGACCTTTCGGTTTGCAGTCAGTCACTTTAACCATTGAGCCACTGGGGCTCCTTTCATCAGCTATTAGGGAAATGCAAATCAAAACCATAATGACATACCACCTCACCCCCATTAGAATGGCAGTGATCAAAAAAACAGAAAACAAAAGGTATTGGTGAGGTTGTAGAGAAACTGGAACCCTCATCGTAATGGATTGAATTGTGTCCCCCAAAAATATGTGTCAACTTGGTTAGGCCATGATTCCCAGTATTGTGTGGTTGTCTTCCATTTTGTGATTTTCGTATGTGTTATAAATCATAATCTCTGCCTGTGGTTAAAGAGGATTAAGGTGGGATGTAACATCCTTGCTCAGGTCACATCTGTGATCCAATATAAAGGGAGTTTCCCTGGGATGTGGCCTGCACCACCTTTTATCTTAAAAGAGACAAAAGGAAAGGGAAGCAAGCAGAGGGTTGGGGACCTCATACCACCAAGAAAGAAGCACCAGGAGCAGAGCGCGTCCTTTGGACCCAGGGTTCCTGCCCAGAGAAGCTCCTAGTCCAGGGGAAGATTGACAAGAAGGACTTTCCTCCAGAGCCAACAGGGAGAGAAAGCCTTCCCCTGGAGCTGACACCCTGAATTTGGACTTCTAGACTACTAGACTGTGAGAAAATAAATCTCTCTTTGTTAAAGCCATCCACTTGTGGTATTTCTGTTATAGCAGCACTAGATGACTAAGACACTCATCCATTGCTGGTGGGAATGTACACTGGTACAGCCACTATGAAAAACAGTTTGGTGGTTCCTCAAAAAGTTGAACATGAAATTATCATATGTCACACCAATCACAATCCTAAGTACCAATACCCAGAAGAAGTGAAGGCAGGAACACAAAACAGAAACCTGTACATCAATTGTTCATTGCAGCACTTTTCACAATGGCCAAAAGGTGGAAACAACTGAAATGTCCAGATGAATGGATAAGCAAAGTGTGGTACAGACATACAATGGAATATTACTCATCCATAAAGAGAAATGAAGTTCTGATGCATGCCACAACATGGATAAACCTTGAAAACATTATGCTGAGTGAAATAAGTCAGTCACAAAAGGAGAAATATTGTGTTTATTCACTTATATGAAATAAGCAAATACTTAGAAACCAAAGATTATTAGTGGTTACCAGGGGTGGCGGGAGGGGGAAAAGGGAAGTTTTTGCTTAGGGGGCATTGATTGTATGTTAATGGTGATGGAATAATTTGGAAAAGGATAGTGAGAATGGTTGCACAACATGAAGAATGTAATTGATGTCACTGGATTTATATATGCAGAATTGTTGAATTGGTAAATGTTTTGTTGAATATATTTTCACCACAATAGAAGAAAGAATATCCTACGGAGCACAGTTCTACCCTGACACACATAGTGTCACCATAAGCCGGAGTCAACTCAATGGCAACTGGTTTTTTTTTGGCCTGTTGTAGGCATTTTAAGGAGCCCTGGTGGTGCAGTGGTTAAAGTGCTCAGCTACTAACCAAAAGGTCCACGGTTCTAACCCACTTAGCCACTCCTCGGGAGAAAGATGTGGCAGTCTGCTTCTGTAAAGACTTATAGCCTTGGAAACCCTATGGGGAAGTTCTACTCTGCTCTATAGTGTTGCTATGAGTCAGAATCTACTCGACAGCAGTGGGTTTGGGCAGGCATTTCATAGGGTCTCTTAATCGAGCCCCTGCTGTGTGCCAGGTGCTCATATACTAGGACTTTGTGAAGCACAGATGAGGAAGCGGAAGCTCAGGGATCAGAAGTCACTAATGGAAGTTGCTAATAAGCAACCTGGGTGGGATTCAAGTTCAGGCCCAGCAGACCCTGGAGCCATGGCCCCTGCACTCAGCCCACTAGTGCCGTTGCCTGCCCCTGGAGCCTCAGGTGTATTCTCTCAGTGCTCATCACAGCAGTGCTTTGAGGTGCTGACAAGACTACTAAGGCACGGGAGAGTCAGTAACTCTTACAAGGTCATGGGAACTTGGTGGTCCGACCCCAGAGTCCACTTCTTAGCCACAAATCCAGTTGCCCTCTGTCATGCGCTAATTATAATTAGTTGCTGATTCCTAAAGCACAGGTTTTGTTTCCAGAACTTGAGTGCTATTCGAGATGAGCCTGAGATGCCTGTCATTGAGATGAAGATAGTGGAGTGCGGCGAGGACATCACCCAGCTATTCAACACGCTCATGACCCTGGAGATGCAGCTGGTGGAGCAGCTGGAGGTGAGTGGACCCTGGGTGGGAGCATGGACCACGGCCCTCAGGCTCTGAGCCTGAGGCTTCTCCACAAGGCTCAGGTAGACTTCAGCCTGCAAGGCTGGAAGCCTGTGCTGTGCTTCTCTCAGCCTGCCCTAGGGTCAAGTCTTGCTCACTAAGCCTTTTCATGCACTTGAATAGTCTAGATTCGAGATAGTTCTGGAGAATGAGAAGCAAGCCCTAGCCCCGGTGGGGAGAGGTTTGTTATAGCCCCAGGAGCTGTTTGGGAGCTTGGGGGACAGAGCGGCCCCACCCCACAGCCTGACATCACCGCATCTCAGAGCATGCCAGGAGCCTGCAGTTCAGCACTCAGAGCTGTTCTCCAAAATTCGAGAGCGGCCCGAGTGACGTATGTTCACTGAGCTGGGGGTCTGAGTGGTTTGATGAACTGAGCCTCCTTGGGTGCTGGCGCGGCTGGGCTAGGAGATAGCACCTAATCAGCTTCTCACAGGCCCGGTGCCCCCCAGACATGGGATAGACTCCTCACGCATCCCACAACAGAGGCTCTCTCCGTGGGGCTGTGCCAGCTCTCCACACACAGCATAAGCGCTCCAGGGAGGCTTGAGGCAGCTGCCCAACCTTCTCAAGCAGGAGGCCCGTCTTAACCTCCACATGTTCCCCAGAGCCCATGCGCAGGCATGCTTGTCCTGCCAGTGGCCAAGAAGCTGCAGTGCAGTTGTGCTTTACAATGACTATACATGTCACAGCTGCATTTACACGTGGTTGAGAAATGTGTAATTGGCTTGGCCTGCAGACAGACCTCGTCCAGATTCTGCCTGCAGCCCCTGGGGTCTAGGGCCGTGCAGGGGATGACCCATCGGGGGTGCAGGGCAGCAGCCTCAGGACCGCATCTGCAGTGCGCATCCAGCCCACTGATCCCCACACAGGCCCTGAGCGCCCTGAGGCACAGGGACATGGCCTTGCAGAGGGCGTGGCTGTGCGGGGTCCAGGTGATGGCTTTCCTGAGGGCTTCCCTGTGCAGACACCCCGCCACACACTTTGTGTGAAGTAACTCACTAAGGCCTCACAACATCTCTACAGGACCAGGCACTACTTGAAAAGCCCATTTTTCAGATGAGGACATGAGGCCCACACAGGTTAAATACTGTTCCATAGTTGCATGTGGGGGCAGCTCCTGCACTATTTCTGTGGAGTGATAGTCTCACTGAGGTGGGTAGCTCTGTGGCTGGCCAGGGGAGGCAAGACCAGGACGGGGGTTCCTGGCACAGGGACTGGGCCAGGCAGAGGCCCGGAGAAAGCAGTGAACATTCAGGGCACGGTGAGTGAGCTGATGCGGCCAGAGAGTAGCAGCTGTGGGAGGAGGTGGGGCCGTCCACAGCATCCCAGTGAGGTTGAGGGGGGCCTGAACCCCCAAGCTGGATAGCAGAGGCTGCCCAGCTACTCCAGGTCCTTGAGTCTAAATGCACACATTAACTGTGATCTTTATCATTCCCAGGAAACGATAAACATTTTTGAAAGGAACATCATCGACTTGGTGGGACTCTTTATCGAAAACGTCCAAAGCCTATATCCTTCCCATGTAGACCCTCCATGGGGAGGCCAGGCACGGCAGCCTGTGGGATCATCTTGGTAGCTCCAGTGCCCCTCATCCCCACCTCCAGGGGGCTAGGAGCAGGGGAAGGGAAGCTTCTGAGCAGATTAGACAGGATGCAAATAAGCAGGTCCCTTCCAGGTGACCTCCTGCAGGTCCCATACCTGCCCCTCACACTGACACCAGCACCCTAAACATAGGTTTAGACAGAGGTAGTAAAAAGTCAGCACTTTTTAGTTCCCTTTACCAGAAATAGCCACTCCCTCCGACTGATTTGCAGAAAAATCTACACCTCCGCCAAGATGATATTTAAATTCACACAGGATCCTATTTAGCGAAATCTCCACCTTTGAAATTAGAGAAATGTCAAACCTCCTGTTTTTCACCAAGGAAAAAGCTTACCTTCAAAGGATCGAGATTGGGCAACCACTTAGAATGTTCAAAAGACACATAGCACAATGGTGGCCTTGCTGAAGTAATTGTGTAGATGCCCAGCGTGGCTCTGTGCAAGGAGAGTCCCAGTGTGCTTGTCCCCAAGTAGGTGATATGCATGGGCAGTGACACTCCAGAATCGCCACCATGCCCTGAGTTTGGTGGGCAAACGTGCTGAGTGTAGGGCACCTCCACATCGAGGACACCGACCGAGTACTTACATGAGCTTGTCAGATTAAATGTCAGGGGTAGGAGCTGGTGTTTGGGGCATGGCCACCCTTCTGCCACTGAACTCAGGGCCCTGCCATGCAGGCGGAGGTGGGGCAAACTGTTGGCTCTGCCCCAGAAAGCACCCTCTGGCTTTTGCCCCCACAGGGTACTCAGGTAGGGGACAGCAGTTATGGATGTGATGAGTGGTAATAGAGGTGCAGGGTGAGCGGCACCAAGCCAGCAGCACTGAAGGGAGGCCTGAGGGGCCAGGTGGAGCCCCAGCAGAGGCCCTGAAGTCCGTCCCTAGAGGAGGCTGGCAGGCCACTAGTGTCATTTAGGCCTCAGGCCAAGTTGGAGGGCAGTCTCCACCTTAGAAGCAGTGACAGCGATGGGTGATTCTAAACCAGTGGATGGGACTCCGTCTGCCTCCACCTTTGAAAGTTTGCTCTGGCCGCTGCAGGGAGGAGGGGTCAGGTGGGACACGTCCAGCAGGAAGTGGCAGTAGGTATGAAAAGAGGTGATGGTGGACAGAGATGGGGTGTGAGGGCAGGCATGTGCTGAGAGTTGTGGTGGCCCTGGATGGCCCTGCGTGGCTCAGAACACGCCCTTCTGCCCCTAGAGCCTGTTCTCTCCTTGCTGGAATGCCTGCTCATCAGAGCCCCCACCCCATCAGGGCTGTGCCCGCCTGCTGCCCCTCCTTTGCTTAACTCATGGTGCACCATGGCTCAGTGCCGGGACCTGGAGAGCCACCACCACGAGAAGCTCCTGGAGATATCCATCAACACCCTCGAGAAGATCGTCAAGGGCGAGCTTGATGAAGACCTGCCTGACGATGTCCGTGCAGTAAGCAGCGGGGCTGTGCCATGGGGTGCGGGGTGGGGGACCCTGCCCCGGGGCTCAGTTAAGGCTGAATCTCACGGAACCTCAGTGTCCTCATCTGCAGACCGTACAGCGGCCCACTTTGCAGGGTGGGGACTAAGAACTAAAGCACTGGCGGGTACCACAGAGCCGAGTTACAAAGGAGCACATAGGAGTTAGGTGGTTTCCAAAAGCTCACCTCTGTGGGGGCTTCTGGCACTTTCTGAGATTTCCCCCAGAGGCCTCCTGGGTCCTGCCCCTCTGTGATGTGTGATTTGAAGCACTGTTTCTGACCCATCATGGTGCAGTCCCATTCCTGCCTGCACATGCAGCCAGCCAGCCTCTGTCCCTTGGACCTGTGCTAAGGGAGGCGCTGGGGGCTTCAGCACTGAGGCCCACACTTCCTGTCAGCCTGTGTCCCTCACTCACTGTTCCCTCCACTCCCACATTTCTCACCTCTCCCCATCTCCTTCCTGCTCACCCCCAGTCACACCATGCCATCCCTCACCTGGAACACTGAAATGGCCCCCTCATGGTCTCCTGCAGGCTATTCTACATGCGGCAGCCAGGGACCTTTTTAAAACCCAAACCAGATAATCTGTGATGTGCACAGAACCCTGCGGTGGCTGCCTACCGCCCCACTGTGCCTCCCTCTGTGCTCCTCTTGGCTCTCACTTCCAGCCCTGGTCTGGGTGCTGCCCCAGCCTTTCCAGCTGACATGCCATCCAACAGACACTCTCCCCTCAGGTCTCTGGTGTCTGGCTCATCCTTGTCATTCAGAGCTCAGCTCAAATGTCAGCTCCTTGGAGAGGCCTTCCCGTCGCCTCATCTCTCTCACACACCGGTTTATCCTGGTCCCAGCCCCATCACAACTTCCTGCGGTCTTGTTCATGTGGATGTGGCTCCTTTGACGCTCTGTGGACATTCGATGGAAGCCTGCAGGGCCGGGGTGGTCTCTCACCACCGTCCTGGTGTAGCAGCAGTGGGCACAGCACAGTGTGGAGTCAGGGTGGGCTGTGGACCAAGCATGCTAGAGTATCTACCCCGAGCCTCTGCCCTGCAGGTGGGCGAAGCCTAGCCCAGCAGACACAGAGGGCCAGCATCCCCAACTCAGAGCCTGCCAGGCCAAGACAAAACCCAGCCAGCTGCAGGTGGCAGGGCCACACACCATGAAGCCCGAGTCACCAGCTTTCCCTCCCTAAACACTCACTAAATGCTGCTAACTATGGCTGACCAGACTCAGGGAGGAGCCACATCCCAGAGCCAGGAAGTGAGGCTGCCCACAAGATGATTGGGATTGCAGATGGTCAGTGCAGGGGGCCTGTGACACCCAGCAGGATGGCTGAAATACATATACTACCTCATGCCTTGGACAGGAGGAGAAAGACAGTCTGGCTAGTACTTCCCCCTACCAGCTGGCTCTGCCTGGGCATCTGACACCTGGGTGCCCCTCGCCTCGAGGGGGCACCAGCCACCTGCTGAGGGAGGAGGCTGAGCCTTCAGCACAGAACTTGTGCACCAAGGGCTCGCTGAGCAAGGGCTGGGCACTGTCTGAGCCTGATGATCACGTGCCATCTCACTGAATTCTCCAAAGGCCACTGCACAGGAGGTACTGTGATCATCCCCATTTTACATATGGGATGTTGTTGTTGTTAGCCACCACCAGGTTGGCCCCCAATCCTGTGCACAATGGAAAGAAATGCTGCCTGGTCCTGCGCCATCCCCAGGATCAGTTGCACATCAGATTGTTGTGATCTACAGGGTTTTCACTGGCTAATTTTCAGAAGTAGGTTACCAGACCTTTCCTCCAAGTCCATCTTAGTCAGGAAGCTCTGCTGAAACCTGTTCAGCATCATAGCAACACGCAAGCCTCCACTGACGGAGGTGGTTGTGGTGCTTGAGGGGCATTGGCTGGGAATCAGTCCAGGTCTCCTGCATGAAACAAAAAAAAAAAAACCAAACCTGTTGCTGTCGAGTCGATTCCAACTCATAGCGACCCTATAGGACAGGGTAGAACTGCCCCATAGGGTTTCCAAGGAGCGCCTGGTGGATTTGAACTGCCGACCTTTTGGTTAGCAGCCATAGCTCTTAACCAGTACACCACCAGGGTTTCCGGTCTTCTGCATGGAAGGCTAGAAATCTACCACTGAACCACCACTGCCCCCTACAGGTGAGAAAATAGGGTAAACCTGAGGCTGAGGGAAGTTTAGTAAATTACCCAAGGTCACACAGCCCTGAGAATCAGAGTCTGGATTCAAATTCGAGTGAGAGATGCCAGAGCCAGCCTCACCACAGAGCTGGCTGGGGTCCCCGCCTGCAGACCACAGGCTAGCATCATGGATAGTACAGCTCTGCCACCGACACAAGGAGCTGCTTTGGGGCCCGCCTGCAAGACTGGGATAAGCTCGCTGTGGGGAGTGTTGCGCTTGAGGCCTCGGGCAGCCAAGCACACTGGAGAACCTCCCTTTGTGGGCTGCGGTACACCTCTGCCCTTTGGGGAACTTCCACAGTTGCAGCAAGAGACATCCCCATACCTTACACTGTTGCTTAGGTCCCCTTATATGTAAGCAACAAAACGGGGCATGTCTTCTCAGGGGAGAAAGTTTGTCCTAACTGGGGGAAGTCATAGGTACCATGATGGCTCCCTTTTACAGATGAGGAAAACTGAGGCACAGAGTAATACAGTAACCTGTCCAAGGACACAAGCTGTGGAGTTGTGTGAACTGAACCCAGACAGTTTGACTCAGAGCTTTTGACAAATGTCCACTGAGTCTGTAGCAAGACTGGGTATGTTCAGATGGGGGATAGGGCCTATGGTGAAAACTCCGGCTTCTCTTCTTACCTAATCATCAAAATGAGCATATCACGATCAAAAACGCACTCTGTGACATCGGTTATCTCTTCACATCTCCTCTCATTCAGCTGAACAACTATTACCAGCTAATGCCAAGCCTGTCCCAACTCTGTATCTTCAAACCCTTCCAGGTGTTAGAGGAAAGAGCAGAATGCCCAGCCCAGGGAGAGCCCCAGCCTGGCGGTGTGAGAGGGCCCTATACAGAGGCCAGTGTGGCTGCCATCAGGCAGAGGCACAGAACCAGCCACAAGTCTCCACCAAGTGGCAGAGGTGGCAGGGAGGCCAGACACCTTCCCAAGGGCTCTGAACATCCGGGTCAGTGTCCAGTTGTGAGGCCGGGTCATGCCCGAGCCCAGGCCATGGAGGGACTTGCAAGGCCTCGAGAGCTGCTCCAGGTGGCGGTCCATGTACAGGGGCAGTGACAAGGTCCGGCTGGGGCCCAGGCAGTGGTCCGTGTAGGGGGCCCATGATGAGGATCAGGTGGGACCTAGGTGGCTCCCTCAGCACAGGAGACTGGCGACTCTAGTCCCTACCCTGTCAGCCAAGCTGGGGGCAGAGGCATCTCTGCAGCAGAGGGGACCATGGTGCCATCAGGTGTTCTGAGCAGGTGACAGGATAATGGGATCCCACGTGGGCACAGGGCAGCAAGTACTCAGACCACCAGCATCACAGGGGTCCTGGGGTAGGCACTAGCTATGCCCTTCTCAAAAGCTCCCTGCAAGAAGTTGCTTAGAAAGAAATGTGCTCTTTCCCATGGCCAGGGCTGCTACTGTGGAAGGCCAGCAAGTACCGCAGAACGGCAGGCCACTTAGGTAGGTGGGCCATCACCAGTGACCCACATTCCCCGGGGCTTCGCCCCTGCAGAACAAAGAAGGGGACTCACAGCCCCCTACCCACAAAAACCATTCCAACGGGAAAACTAGCAGCCAGCACTCTGGGCCACCTGAAGGCTAGAACCAGCTTTGCAGTTTTTATCATCACTTTTTTAAACCAAATCCAAAGCAAAACCAAACCCATTGCCATCGAGTCAACTCTGACTTATAGCAACCGTATAGGACAGAGTAGAACTGTCCCGTAGGGTTTCCAAGGAGCGCCTGGTGGATTTGAACTGCTAACCTTTTAGCGGTCATAGCTCTTAACCACTACACCACCAGGGTTTCCAGAGCCCTTTAATTTGTATTTTACAACATCATGGTTTTTCATAACAGACTCTATGTAACCTTCTACCTTTGTATGTAGACTTCAGTCTCTGTCGCTTTCCACTGCTTACAAAGCTTGTTTTCTATGTATGCAAAAGTTGGGGGAAAGATTTCTCTGCTTGGCTTATGATATCAGCTGTAACCCACTTTTTAAAATGAAGAAGGGGGATCTTTTACAAGGGGTTGAGGTGATTGGTGGCTTTTTCTAAAACACAGCCGAGACCTTCACCGGACAACCACCCTGTGTTCCCGTCCTGCTACTCGGGAAGGGAAGGCAGGTTTTACAGGTCTTGAACCCTCCCAGAGCCTTGCCTGGGGCCATCTCTGCACCTAGGAAGAACCTATTACCTCCTTGTCACTGCTCCCGTGTGACTCTGCTAATTGGTTCCCCAGACACTCCATGCCCCACATCAGCTGATTTGGTTTTTCCCACTTGGAATTCCATGGAAAACCAGCACTCCACAAGATGTTAATGGTATTACTCTGAAAAGGAGTCTGTGCCAAATAAGTTGGAAAACTGAGAGAAACAAAGTTTGTTTTCTGCAGGACTTTCTAGAACCTTCAAAATCCTTTGTATGCTGTGGCTGCTATAACAAAGTACCACAAACTTGGTGGTTTAAAACAACAGAGATTTATTGTCTCACAGTCCTGGAGGCCAGAAGTCCAAAATTAAGATGTTAGCAGGGCCCTGCTCCTTCCAGAGGCTCTAGGGGAAAATCCTTCCTTGCTTATTCCAGCTTCTGGTGGCTCCAGGCGTTCCTTGGCTTGTGGCCACATCACTCCATCTCTGCCCCTGTAGTCACATGGCCTCCTCCTCTGTGTATGTGTGAGAGAGAGACTGTGTCCAGGTCCCACCAGGAAAATATAGGACGGGCTCCTATTTTCAAGATCCTTAACTTAGTCACATCTTTTGCCACATAAAATAATATTCACTCTTTTGCGATATAAAGTAATACTCATAGGTTCTGGGGATTAGAAAGTGAATATATCTTTGGGGGACCATTTTTTCAGCCTACCACAGGTGTGCAGGATTTCACAAACATATCTGACCAAAGAGTACATTTATTTTTTGCAGAAATAGTTAACATCTTGATTCTACAGAACATATTCTGGAGACCATTATGTTAACTGCTACTGTATGAAAAAACAAAACACAAAGTGTACTTGCAGTCCTCTCTGCAATATAGAAAACTTTTAGGTCCTTTGCCATCCTTGGCATCACAAAGTACCTTCCCTTCAAAGTGGAAGTAACTTCTTGCTAAATGCTTAAGGAGCCCTCCCTAGCTCTGGGAGATAACCGCATTCGATATTCAACTGTCCTATGCACACAACAGCCATAGTTTGAACACCTAGAACCTGCCGGGCCTATCATTTGTTCTGGACAGAAAACAAGGTCAGGAACAAGAGAAGAGAGGAGGAAACACCAAATGAAATCAGAGATTTGACTTTGTTAACATGGGGGCAGTGGATAGACAGTCATGGTCTGAGTACCTGTCAGCTTGCGGGACCCTCTGTCCTCAGGGAGCAGCCTCGAGCCCCTCGACCAGCCTCCCAGTCCCCACCAGCCAGCAAAACTTTTAGGCAGGTCAGACTTGGGAGCAACCAAAGGAGAGGAGCTTTCCTGGCTGTGGACCACCCAGAGCTGCCACCTGCCTTCTCCAGGAGAAAACTTGGCTCGCAACCGGGGTTCCAAGTCAGCAGCCTGGTTTGCCCTTCCCCATAACTGCTCTGGAACTGCTTGTGTCTGGGAGGCATTGGGACCTGAGGGCAACCTACAGGAAAGTCTGCAAGGTGGGCACTGCCTACACCAACCGGGGGGACTTGGGCTCCCTTTTCAATTTGGCACAGACATTGTGCTCAGGGTGGAACGACACCATCTCTTTGGTCATTCTTACCAGCTTTTTGTCGACAAAGACACAATTGTCAACGCTGTCGGGGCATCACATGACATCCATCTCCTGAAGATTGACAACCGGGAGGATGAGCTGATCACAAGAGTCAACTCCTGGTGCACGCACTTGGTGGACAAGGTGGGTATAGTGAACCTCCTCTAGCTGGCTTGGCCAGTTTCCGTAGTGGCCAGCCAGAGAGAAGGTGCAAGTTCTCCCTAGGCAGTATACACTATTTTCAATAAAAAATTAAGAAAGAAATAAAAATTATGGATTGTAGCACTTCACACTGAAGACCTAATTTTGCCCAGTCAGAGATATTAAGGAGCCCCGGGGGCACAATGGTCAGAAGCTATGGCTGCTAACCAAAATGTCAGCAGTTTGAGTCCACCACCTGCTCCTTGGAAACCCCATGGGGCAGTTCTACTCTATCCTATAGGGTTGTTATGAGTCAGAATCGACTTGATGGCAACGGGTAGAGACGTTAAATCCCATATGCTTCGTTTTCTAACTCCTACCTCGAAGATATTTGTTGTTGTTTGAGCTGCCGTCGAATTAGCTCAGAAACATGGTGACCTCGTGTACAAAAGAACAAAATGTTGCCCAGTTCCACATCCTCATGGTCACTGACATGCCTGAGTCCATTGTTGCCTTACAACCCTAGGAGGATCATCTTCCAGCACTATATTGGACGATGTTCTGTTTCGATCCATAGTGTTTCATAGGCTGATTTTCGGAAGTAGATCACCAGGCTTTTCTTCCTAGTCTGTCTTAATCTGGAAGCTCCACTGAAACCTGTCCACCATGGGTGACCCTGCTGGTATTTGAAACACCAGTGGCATAGCTCCCAGCATCACAGCAACATGCAAGCCACCACAGTGCAAGCTACAAATTGATGGGAGGTAGCTCAAATATATAATCAACACATTGCGGCAGGGGGGGAGTAAATGAGGAACTTAAACTCTATAAATTTCAAAGAAGCATTCTCCCCTCCCTCACACTGGACTCAGTAGATGTTAAGTTAGTATTTGAATTAGGGACATTGTTTGGTCTCACTCCTAGATTCACACAGATGAAATTATGAGGAACCGCAAGCGCGTGAAGGAGATCAATCAGTACATTGACCACATGCAGAATGAGCTGGACAACCTGGAGTTTGGTGATATTCTCGATTAGGCATGTTAGCCCTCAGACCCCAGAAGGAGGAGGGTGTGCTGACCACCTTCGCAGAGGGAGTGGCTGGAACTCCTCAGCCGCTACTACTAGCACCATCCTTCCCCACCCTGAAATGATTTCCAAATGTAGAAATAAAGGACTTATGTGACCTTTTCTCCATTCTTTAAAAGAAACTAGAATTTATGTCCATGTACAAGAAGGGGAAAAGGCCCAGAGGAGCAGCAGAGCCTCACAGGTGGCCAGGTGGCTGCATGTTACCCCAAGGGAACAGTGGCTGGACTGAGCTATGGGGCCCCACCAGACAGCGAGGGCTGCAGAGCCCTCCCATCCTCTTGTGCCAAGGAGTTGAGGAGCAAGAGAGGCCAAGCTGCGCCACTGCTGTGGGCTGGGCCATCTGGGAGGCTGGGAGGCAGGGAACTGAGCCCCACAGGAGGGTCAGCCACAGGTGAGGTGTGGGCATCACCCAGACTGGGTTCAAGTCCCACTCCGACATGTCCCCTCTGAGGCCTCAGTCTCGGGGGGTGTGCCAGCACCTACCTCAGGTGCTAATGCAGAGTCAGGGGACAGTGCAGGGAAGGCATGAGTATGTGACCCCCTTCAGTCCTCAGGTCTGAGGACATGAGGCACAGGAGGCCTGTGCTGCCTCAGTTCAGGGCTTTTACCACTTCTTATCCTCAAGAAGGAGCCTGTAGCTGCCTAGGACCATGCAGATGACCATGTGGGGGTGACCTGGGTGGGGAAGACATGGAGGTGACCATGTGGTGGATCCAGGAATTGAGGACATGGAGGTGACTTGTAGGGGGGACCCAAGCATGGAGAATGTGACAGTGACCATGGGAGGAGACCTAAGAAGAGAGGATGAGATGGTGACTGCCATAGATTGAATTATGTCCCCCCAAAAATGTGTGTATCAGTTTGGCTGGGCCATGATTCCTGGTATTGTGTGATTTTCCTATATGTTGTAAATCCTGCCTCTATGATGTTAATGAGGGACAATGGGTGGCAGTTGTGTTAGTGAGGCAGGACTCAGTCTACAAGCTTGGTTTGTGTCCTGAGGCAATCTATTGATATATAAAAGAGAGAAGGAGCAGAGAGACAGGGGGACCTCATACCATCAAGAAAGCAGTGCCAGGAGCAAAGCACATCCTTTGGACCGGGGTCCCTGTGCAGAGAAGCTCCTAGTCCAGGGGAACACCGAAGAGAAGAAGGCCGACAGAAAAAGCCTTCCCCTGGAGCTGACGCCCTGAATTTGGACTTGAGCCTACTTTTAACTGTGAGGAAATAACTTCTCTTCATTAAAACCATCCACCTGTGGTATTTCTGTTGGAGTAGCACTAGATGACTAGGACAGTGACCATTTTGAAGACCCAGGCATAGAGGCAATGGAGGGGACCATGTGGGGGGGACCTGGGCACAGAGGGTACAAAGATGACCATGTGGGGAAGCTGGGCCATGACAGGGACCATATGGAGAGACCTAGGCATGGAGGGCATGATGACGACCATGTGGGGGGACCCAGGTGTGGAAGACATGAAGGTGACCATGTAGGGGGACCTGGGCATGGAGGATGCGGAGGTGACCATGTCAGGGGCACCCGGGTATGGAGGACATGATGGGACTGTGTGGAGAAACCCAGGCATGAAGGGTGTGACATTGACCATGTGGGGGGAACCAATCATGGAGTTTCATGACAGTGACCTTGGGGGAAACCTAAGCATGGAAGGCATGGACTTGATCATTTGGGGGGATCTGGGCATGGAAGACATGGAGGTGACCATGTGGGGGGACTCAGTGACTGTGTGGGGGGACTCAGCCGTGAAGGATGTTGAGGTGACCACGTTGGGGGTCCTGGGCGAGAAGTGGAGGTGACCGTATGGGGGACCCAAGCATGGAAGGCATGACTATGACTGTGGGAGGGGGACACACATACCTGGAGGACCCTGATGGGGAATCCGGGCATGGAGGACTAATGGTGCCATCTGGGGGGACCCGAGTGTAAAGGACATGACAGTGACCTTGGGGGGAACTGGGCCTGGAGAATATAATTTTGACCCTGATGGAGGATTCAGGCATGGACGTGGAGGTGACCATGTGGGGGGACTTAGGAGTGGAGGGCATGGACATGACAATGTTAGGGGGACCCAGGTGTGAAGTGCATGATAGTAACTATGTGGGGGTACTGAGTGTGCACAAGACAGTGACTGTGTGGGGGTACCCAGGTGTGGAGGATGTGAAGGTGACTGTGTAGGGAGACCTAGGCACTGAGGACGTGGAGGTGACCATGTGGGGGGGACCCGGGTGTGGTCACTGTGAACATATTGAGGGACCTGGGCATGGAAGATGTCATGGTGACCGTGTAGGGGGGACCCGGGAGTGAAGCACATGGAGGTGACCACAAGGAAGACCTGGGCCTGGAGAATGTGACGGTGACCCTTGTCAAGGATCCAGGCATGGAGGACGTGGAGGTGACCATGTGGGGAACCCAGGTGTGGAGAACATCTTGGTGTCTGTGGGAGGGGACCTGGCAAGGGGGATGTGATGTTGATTGTGTGGGAAGACCTGGGCATGTGGGACGTGATGATGTCTGTGGGGAGACATGGGCATGGAAGATGTCATGATGACCATGTGGGGGGACCTGGGCTTGGAGCATGTGGAGATGACTATAGGGGGAACCTGGGCCTGAAGGACATGACAGGGACCCTGGTGAAGGATCCAGTTGTGGAGGACTTGGAGGTGACCATGTAGAGAAGCCAGCTGCGGAGGATATGGTGGTGACTGTGTTACGAAACTGGCGCTTGGAGGATGTGATGGTGACCATGTGGGAGCATATGGGCATGGAAGACGTCATAATGACTGTGCGGGAGGACCTGGGTGTAGAGCACGTGGGGGTGACCATAGGAGGGACACAAGCCTGGAGGGTGTGACGGTGACCCTGGTGGTAGATACACCATGGAGGATGTGGGGGTCACTATGGAGGACACAGAGGTGCCCACAGGAGCAACCTGGGCGTGACAATGACCCTATAGGGACCCAGGTGTGAAAGACGTGATGGTGACGCTGGTGGAGGATCTGGGTGTGGAGGACACAGACGTGACTGTAGTGGGGCCCAAGTGTAGAGGACATGGAGGTCACTGTGTGGGGGGACTGGGGCCTGAAGGACGTGACAGTGACCGTGGAGGGAGGACCCAGGAATAGAGGATGTGATGGTGACCTTGTTGGAAGACTCAGGACTGGAACATGTGGAGGTGACTGTGTTGGGGGACCCAGGCATGGAAGACGTGGAGGTGACCATGTGGGGGGCCTGGGGCCTGGAGGATGTGATAGTGGCCATGTGGGGTGACTCAGGCATGGACAACATAATGTTGACCATGGTGGGGGGCACATCAGCACTGGAGGACATAGAGGTGACCGTGTAGGAGGACCTGGGTATGGGCAACATTATGGTGACTGTGGGGGGGGACCCAGATGTGGAGGACATGACAGTGACCATGTGGGGGACCCAAGCATGTAGGACATGACAGTGACTGTGTATGGGGAACCTGGGCATGGAGTATATAGAGATGACCGTGGGGCAGGGGGCTTGGGTACAGGACGTGGAGGTGACCATGTGTTTGGGACTTGAGGAGGGAAGCCTACACATCACAGGAGGTTGCCCTCTTCCTGTCTTTTAATTAAACCCAGACACAACTTATATTTTTCATTTTCTGCTGTAAATTTTTTTCGAGATCAGCAGGAGCAAACAGACACAACTGGCTTGGAAGGACTCACTTTGAAAAGATCACTTGACTATAAACCAGGAAACAGGAATACCTGTCGCTGACATGGTTTTCTCCCCAATGTAAGTTCCCAACCCAGGGCAGCAGGTATCAAAACGGGTCCATGGAAGGTCAGCTTAACCCTGGTGAAATGCAGACATCACAGGAGTGCAGAAAGTGGAGGCACAAATTAAAATAGGGCATATTTCCAGAGTGGAGACATATTTAATAAAATAAGAGGAAGTCATCTACAACCTGCTGTCCGTCACTGGCGGCTGGCCGGGTGCCATGCTGGCTGGAGACCCTCAGGGCTCCACTGCCCACGGCCCAGCTGCAGGTCTCACTCCCGAAGGAGCTTGTGCTTGACAGTGGTGCTCTCGGAGCAGAGGTGCACGAAGAGGGTGCCAGCGGCTGCACGGGCCTGCAGCTCCTGCAGCTCATAGTCGTGGGCCCACTCGATGTTGCCCCACTTCTGGACCTGAGGGGAGAGCCAGACACGCTGGCTGAGATGGCACCCAGTGCCCAGCTCCTGTCAGGCCAAAGCTGCAGGAGGCCAAGCTGAGGGAGCACAGGCTCCAAGCCAGCACACACAAGATGTGCGGGGTTGGGGGGAGAGGACAGTTGGCTGGCAGCCGTCCATACTCAAAGGCAATGGTGATCTGGGAGGGTGCAGGCTAGGCCCAAGCACTCTCTCCTCCAAGGTGCCCAGCCCATGGGATAGAAGGAATGGACAATCACTGAGGCCCCGTGGGGGGCTGCATGTCTGACTCTGAGAAGGGCCCAGGACTGAACGGGCCTCTGCTCAAACATGGGCAAGGCTCAGAGACCCAGAGGGAGGAAGGCCGATCCCAGACCAACCTGCCAGCTCCTCCCTTGCTAGGGGCCCAGAAGGCCTTGTCTTGCCACCTCATTTTGTTCAGTCACCCCAAATCTGACGTGTCCCACAATTCTCTGCATTTCTAGGCCGCCCAGTCTCGGTCTGGAAAACTGCGCTATATTATCTGAAGAACATGTTACACTTCCAGAGCGCTGTCACTACACAATCCAGGCTACCCCCATTTTGTGGAGGGTCAAAATAGAAGTTCAGAAGACAAAGGCCTGGCTCAGGGCCCCATGGCCAAATGCAAAGTCTAGACCAGAAACCAAGGCTCCTGGTTCCCAACCAATTCCGTAAACACCACAAAATCATAACCCACCCTGTTCAATCCTTCCTGACATCAAGAGAAGAGCTAGCTTCTTTTGTTGTACAGAAAGATATTCCCCCAGCATTTCCTGTATCAGCAGATGACTACATGGACTTAGGAAATATTGCCATTACAAAGAGGTTTTCATCATACTGAGAACCAACTCCTAACAGCAATTCACCTTATAACTGCAAAAACTTGTATTGTCAGAGTAAAAACATGCAAATGATAGTGTGGCAAAACCTGATGGAATCTAAGCCCACTAAATCAGAACTGGTGTGCAGACAGCAGCTCCCTCTGCCCGCCTCAGCCACCCAGGCTAACTGCTGGGGAGACTCTGGGCCTGAAGCAGGGTAGTCCACTTGGAAGAGCACACATGAGGCTTTCAGCAGTGACAGCACTGTGCATGTAGACTGGGCCCAGACAATTCATATCGGTCCATGAGTCTCTGGGGGAGGGGATCCTTGGCCCCAGAGGCTCCCAGACCTGGCTCCAAACCCAGCTTGAATATTTCCCAGCCATGCAGCCCTGTGCCTCAGTTTCCTCCTGTAAAATGGGGGTAACAGCAGCAGCACCTACAGCTGTTTTGAAGAGATGAGGCCCGAGGGTAAAGTATGATCTCAGGGCTGAGGCACAGGGTCAAACTTACTGCCATGACCTGATTATCTCTGTTACTTGGCAGTACTTCTACTGGCCCTTAGTTTTGGTTTCAGTACATCCATAAAAGTAATAAAGGCCAAGTTTACATGCAAAAAACTCAGATAGGCTGTCCGCCCCCCAGTCAGTGCGTATTAGGAAGGGGTGTTATCGCAATCTATCAATGGTCTCCTCTCCCCCTGGTGGGCAGAGAACTGAGGGCGGCCCCAAGGCTGTGGTTACCTCACCTGGTACTCCTCCTCCAGGCGGGACAGCAGCACAGCCTGTTCCACCGTCAGGCGCAGGTCCATCAGGCCCAAGGTCAGCACCAAGGACTTGAGCTGGGCCACCACAAACTCAATCCCTGCAGGACAGAAGCCAAGTCAGGACCCAGGATGCCCCCACTCAAATAGGGCAGCTGCTCCAATGCTCCCCCCGCCCAACTGTGTGTCCCTGCACCTCAGGGAGTGAGTGGTAAAGAGGCGCTAAATGGAGGAGAATGGTCACTGGAAGCAGCTGTTGTGTTGGCCTGCTCTGTACCCACCCCCTTTTCTTCTGAAGAGCACTCTGTGCTTCCTTGAGAGCAGTCCTCTGCTCTCACCTGGGGCAGGCATATGGCCTGCACCTGGCAATCAGAGCATTCCACACCCATGACCCAGTGACTGGTTCAGGGATGGGCATGTGACCCAAGCCTGGCCAATGACACATGGACCCAAGACTTGTGCCAGAGAAGAGAAACCCAGCTTTGTGCTAGAAGGGCGTGAGCCTGGACCACAGGCTGAGAAAAACCGTTGGTGTTAGAGTCAGCCTCCATCCTCAGAGTCATCTTGGGAGCTCCCTTAGGAGGGGTGGGCACAGGTCACAGACACAAATGCCTATCACCCCTGCCCTCCCAGCCCCAGCAAGCTCCAGGAATACCTTGGAGGGCCCACATGTTGTAAGATGCCAGATGGCTGGCAAGCGTCTCATAAGTCTTGGCTGGGATGCTGGGCCCCATGATGCTGGTGGAGGCGCCAATCTCCATGCCATATCTGAAAGGAAAAAGCTTATTTCAGCCTATCCGTGTCTTGCTGTGGCCCAAGAGCAGCCCAGCTCTTGCCCAGAAACAGAGACATAAGCTGCTGAGCATGTATGCACCCTGTCAGGATATCCAGTCAAGGAGCCAGTCTTGGGGGTTCTGGGAGACACTGCCACAAGCCAGTGGCCTCCTGACCTAATTTTCTGTCCCCCAAGAGCAAACCCAGAGGACCAAGAAACTGCCCTGCACAGCTGGCGAGTTGTGCGAGCTGGGCGCGTGCATGTGCAGCTGCTGGAAACTCTTAACTTATGTACCTGGAATTCCAGCAAACATGTGGACATCTGCTTTTTAAACTTTTTTAAAAGTTTTTCACATTTGAGGCCATAAAAAATTTTTTTAAAGATTGCTTTCCTTGCAATAATATTTGTATATGTCCTACGTAATTCATTTTCTTTATTCAACAAATATTTATGGCCCCTATACCATACAGGGCATTGTTTTTGGCCTGTCATCTACAGGACATGCACTGGCTTCAAGTGACAATAAATCTTCAAGAATAATCATAACTATACAAAGCACATGAAAAATAAAATGCAAAAAAACAATTTTTGTAATTTCTTCATATTTATCACTGAGTCCCCACTGGTTTAAAACTATCCTTGTTGAAATTTCTAATAGTACAAATCAAATATACGAGTGGCTAAGTTTTTCTGTAAACTATTAAGGACAGGAAAGCTCAACCGCCAGAAAAACCAGACTATTTTATACCATGGCACAGCTTTCTAGGCATCTGAATTTTGTTATATTTAATTAGATCTCAAAATGACATTGTGTCTTCATATTTCTCATCCAATATTGTAGCTGTTAGGATTCCCTGGGTGGTGCAAACAGTTAACACTCAACTGCTCACCAAAAGTTTGGAGGTTCAAGTCCACCCAGTGGTTCCTCGGAAAAAAGGCCTGGCAATCTGCTTACAAAAAACCAGCCATTGGAAACCCTACGGAGCACAGTTCTACCCTGACACACATGAGGTTGCCATGAATCGGGTCGACAGCAACTGGTATTGCAGCTGTTACAGCTCACTTGATCTCTTTATTGTAAGCCCCTTGGAGCACTGGCTGTGCCTTTCACTTTAAAACTCCAGGATGCCTGGCACATTGTGAGTACTCAGTAAACGTGTAGCAAATGAAGGAGACAGATTGGGGGACTCACTTTTGTGAAAAATGTTACACCAGAAAACATTCCACATAAGCTCACAAGATACAGTGGCCAAGATAATCCCATGAAGCCAGCCCTCCCACATTTCCCTTGGAATGAAATCAAACTGAATTTCTTTTGCCACCCCATCAATAGTCTGTTCCATTTTGCACTCACAAGAGTCTTCCCGTTAAGGACAAATACTGGGACTCATCAGCTCCTAGACCTGCATGCCCCCAGGAGAGACACCGCCTGTGGTTTTCCCGCGGCGCTGCCTAGGCTGGCCCCTGCGTGTGCACATATACCGTGTAGACTGTTTTGTGACCCACTGAGGGGTGTAATAATTGTAGTGATATAAAGATGATGACTGCCAGCGCATGAGCATGTACATGAGCAAGGCAAGTGCCAGCCCTTCACAGGCACTGCTGTGCTCGTGCCTCCATTCCCTGAGGAGGTTTCACTAGCTCCACCTCACAGACAGAGACTGAGCTCAGAGACCAAGTCACACAGCTAGTAAGTGGCAGAGCTGAGACTAAACCAACACTGCTGCTCTCATCCGCTGGGGGAGGGCAGCCCGGGGGCCCTGCTGCCGCCCAAGGACATCCAGCATGGTGCGCACCAAGAGCAGGTGCCTAGTGCCCGACATTGAAACAGGCTGAGAATGCCTGAGAGTACTTTCCCCAAGGTGACCCTACCCCGAACGTCTAAGAGATGCCTCATCCCAGGGCACCTGAGCTCAGAAAGCTGACCAGCCAGGGTTTGTCCAGTGTGGCCCTGGGCCCTCACCCTGTCCAGCCCTCGTGACCAGTTAAGAGCTTGCCTGGGGATAGGGTGAGGAGGGGCAGTGCCTCTGCAAGTGGCGCATCTTACCTCTTCTCGGCCCACTCGATAATGGGGTCCCACTCGTTCTTCTGAAGTTCCACTAGTGTCTCTGGCTCCTCCACCCTGTAGCTAATTCATTGTAAAAATCACCTTAAGTAACAAAAAGTACAGCTCCTTCATTCAGCACAGACAAAGAGAAACCAAAGCCAGAGCAAACACTTCTTCCCCACCACCCCAGCCCCACAAGCCAGCCTCTCATCTCTTTCCCCTAAAGCAGCAGCTCTCAAAGTGTGGTCGTGGGACCAGCAGCAGCAGCAGCAGTAGTACTGGGGAACTGGCCAGAATGAAATCAGAAACTCTGGGACGAGGCCCAGTAATCTGTGGCTCCAGTTTGAGAACCACTGCCCTCATTATTGGACAGGTAAAAGCTGGCAGTTGATGACATTCTAGAGCAGATTCACACTCCTAACTGCACCCTTGGATCCACATCCACTTGATGCTTGGATGCTGAACGTGGATATTGTGCCAGGAGTTCAGTCATGGCAGCCCTGACTTTCCCCTCCCAAAAGGCAGCATGCTCCTCCCAAGCCCATCCCTGACTATTGGTGCCAAGGCTGCATGGAAGACTGCCCTGAGGGGACCTGACACTTGTTTTGACCAGGAGAAATGGAGACAGAGTCAGTTGAGGGAGCTGAGCTGCAAGGCCTCATGGGACGGGCCCCAGGTGGCCCTGTGGAGAGCTGCTGGCCTGTGAAAGTGGAGGGGAGAAGAGAGGGCATAAGATGTAGGAGAAGAGGAATAGAAGAAGGGACAGACTCAGTGAAGCCGCCCCAAGGGTGGGGGGCAGAGGGGAGGCTTCAGCATCCCAACTTCAGATCCCATCCCTGGTAACCCAACCATTCTTCATCTCCTGTCAAGAGTCTCTCTATTGTTTCCTAGGAACCCCCTTCCCTGAGTTAGGTTGAGTGGTCAATCAAATGACCCCTAACCCAAATGCACTTGGCTTTCTGACTAGCAGCTCAACATGGGCACTGTGGCCACATGGTCAGGGGCATCTTTACTCCCCCTCAACCCTCAGCACTGATTTTGGATGTTGTCCACGAGACACATAGGATCTTAGCACCTCAGACCAGCAGACAGCAGACATAGCCGTTCCGCTACATAGTTCTTCCCTCAGCTTTCCTTCAGCATCACTGACCAACTAGCCAGAGAACATAAACACGGGGGAAATTCAGAACCAGGGGAAGCCAGCTCCTTGATGTCAACATCTGACCGGCTCTGTGTATCCAAGCTGAGGAATGACAAGGATGCCTACATGAGAACGGGTGTGGGGGCCAAAGTCCAGGGTCAGAGCCCCACTGGGGTTGGTGGTGCCTCTTGGGTCCTAGAGTCTGAAGTGCTGCTTGTACCCCCAGGCCAGGGGGTAGAGGCGGGGCTGCAGGAGGGTCATGCCCCATGTTCTGACACAGTTGTAGCTGAGGCATCCCTGTCCTAGAGATGTGCAGGGGAGCTTGGTGCTGATGTCAAGTGGATTGCCCCCCTACCCCATGACACAACGGAAACCAGTCTGCTGCCCTTCCACTGGTAACAGCCTGGCACATGAGGCAAGGTGACCCACAGGGACCAGTTTGGTCCCAGAAGTTCCATCAATGTCCTTTACCAGATGGTGTCAGTGTCCAGAAACTTCATAGCCGCCTGGATCAGCTGGTCCTTGTTTCGCTGGGTTGGGTTGTCCAAAGATGTGTTGCACAAGGTGGTCTGGATCAAAAGGCAGAATCCCCCGTGATCAGCCATGGGGCTCAGGCCAAAGCACTACTCTCCTGCAGCCAACACACAGCAAAAAGGAGAGAAGCAGATGGCCACAACCAGGGAGGTGGCCCAAGGGGTCCTCACAACCACAACAGCAGCACATTGGTTGAAAGCTTGTCACAACAAGCTCTGTGCTGGACACTCATAAGATCCTCAAGATAGCTCTCCTAGGCAGGAACTTCTACCTCCACTTAGCAGTTGAAGCTGAGCCTCAGAATGAATGGACTGCCCCAAGGTCTCATGCTCTTTACTACCCAGCTCTGCTGTACTTCTTGTAATCCTCATCACAGCCCTCTGGAGTTGCAGGTACTGTTGTTCTACCCATTTCAGAAATGTGGAAACTGAGGCCCAAAGAGGTTAAGTACATCATTAGATACCACAAAGAAGACACATAAGCAGAACTGGAATGCAAACCTGCTGACTGCAAGCTTTACCACCTGGCTCCCCAATGCCTCAGAAAGCAAGGAAACAAACCTTCCAAACCAGGGTCAGGATGGTTTTTCCAGATCTGCCTTGCTGACGATGGGTTGCTTAGGCTACTCTAACAACTCTAACAACTAGCTGTGGCCCAGTCACCCTGATTTCACCATCAAAGGAGCAGGGAGCAGCACAAAAGGCCATGAAGGGTTGCAAGGAAGCCAACCCAGGTCTGCATGTCAAGAGGGAGTGCAGTGATGACCAGGACGAGAAGAGTTGATCCCACAGCTACTGAACGCTCACCTGTGCCTGCACCTGGCCAGAACTTCACATGCATTACCTCATTTAATCCTGACCTCACTCCATATAGCACATACCACCAGCATTCCCCTCTCACAGATGCGGACAGGGACCGGGCTGAGAGAGAGGCATGTACTTGCCCAAAGTTCTGAGTCTAGAAGCCAGAGAGTCTGGACCCAAAGAGCTCAGTGGCCACAGTGCCCACACAAGCCATTCTGTGTGGGTGGAAGAGGCTGGCTCACAGTGAGCTGTTCCCACCCTGCGGCTCCATTTGTTCTTTCATTCGGCCATGAGGCAAGGCAAGCTAACCTTCATGGTAGGGCTGGGCACACCTGGTGAATGGAACAGATATGGCCCCAGCCCTCATGCTGCTCACAGTGCAGTGGTGGGGACAGACAACAAACATGTGAACCTAAAACACACAACTGCAGCTGCCATCACAGACAATAAGAGGACTGGAGCCCCTCTGAGGAGATGGCACCGTGGCAAGGCCAGCGGGGGAGAGGTTGCTGTGGCCAGGGGGCTGGAGTCCCTCATGGAGAGTCTGGCCAGAATCTGGAGGGGCATCCACATTTCTGCAAAGCCCTGGAGGAAGCCAGAGGGACAGGGAGAGGACTAGGGCACAGGCCAGCACTGTGAGCTCATTACCAGGTGCATGGTGTAGAACTTGATGGTATCCTGCTGGGAGTCCCATTCCATGGCTACTGCGGTGGCCAGAGCCTCACTAGGGACGGTAAAGAGCTTGGCTTGGGGTGTTTTCAGCTTTCTGTGGTCCAGGTTTATCTCAAAGCCACCTTGAAAGAGCAAATGTAAACCTCTCAGGGACTGTGAAGTGGAATTCAGTGACCATTCCTATATTTAGCCATGTGAATTGGTACAAAGAAACTCAGAGTCTGTTCACTGAAGCGCTTACAGAAACATATCTGACAAAAGCAGGAGGGACAATCTCACCACAGAATGAGCTGGAGATGAAAAATGTTCACTCACACTCTCACACACACACACACACACACACACACACACACACACACACACAGACACACACACACACACGGGTGGGGGCAACCAAACTTTCAGACACTCACCTTCACCCTGGGTGATGCTGACATTCTGATAAAACCGCTTCCTTTCTGTAAGAAAGATTTTTCAAAAAGGCAGCTTAACATAATGTAGCGACAGCTTAGGAAGTGACAAGCCCAGCTGTATCATTACTGCTGATGTTGATTTATTGTCTTGATTTTCCTATCACCATTCAAGGTCTGCCCTACTCTACACAGTATCATCAATGGCTCTGACTGAGGCTGGAGGTGGGGGCTAGCTGGGGAGGAGAACACTCACTCTCTGGGGATCAAGAAAGGAGCAGGACATGCCAGTAATGCCGCCAGCAGTCACCAAGTCCCAGGGACAAGTCTGATCATGCAGCATCGCCAAGCTGCAAAGACTGTCTCACTCTACAGATTTTCCTACCACCTTTGGCCTGACCTTCCACCACTCCCCCACACCAGTGCTGCCCAAGGTGAGCACAATGTGGATGGGATAAAGCCAGAGCTCTATCCCAGAGGCCCACTTCTAAGCAGGGACAAGTGAAAAGCCAGCATTCTTGTGCATGTGTGTGCACATGTGTAGTATGCAGGCAGTAAGCATATGTCCCAGGAGCACTTTCTATTACCTCTATCCAATTAATTAACTCAATTAGCCAACTTGCTTGTATATTCAACAGGAACTCCACACATTTCCTTTAAGAAGGGGAAAATCTGTGTCCTGTGTTCCCTATTAAAAGTAATTTGAATAAAACCTTATTTGAAAATGTAAACACATTCTCCCTCTTTTATCCAGGAGGGATTAAAAACCAACAGCATCTCAGAAGGAATCATGCAGATTCCCTCAACTAATAAAGAACAAATAGGTCACATTTTGGAAGCCAAAAAACATAACATGGTCTTCAGTCCCTATGACAGACACAAAACTTTCATGCTTTCACTCATTTGTCCACTCATACACTGGGTACGAAGAGCCTCAGGGTCCCTGACTGAAGTTACTTATTGAGGGAATGATGCAGCATGTGGAGGAAAAGGAGGCTCATTAAACAGTTCGCTTTTAACACCTTTTTTAAAATCAACCAAGTTCAAGTTAAAACTGCATTAATTCAAATAAAGAATTGAACTGATTATTCAGTTAAGTAACGAATTCAAATTCAGGGGAACTTGGTGTGTGTGGGTGGGGGGAGGTAATGGAGAGAGGGTATCTGAATATCCAAGCATATTCTTTTTCTGTTTTGCCACACACCTGTTTTTACCCCACAAATCTCATTTGCTATACCTCATACCTAAACACAGAGGGGCCCAAAATTGCGTTTCCAGGGTTGCATTTACTAAACTTAAGCCTAAACTATTTTTCCACAAAAAATAACGTTTTGAGTGCCTATATGTGTCAGGCACTGCTCTAGGCACTTGGGATATGACAGAGAATAAAACAAAAAAAACCTCTCTCTCTCTCTCTCTCTATATATATATATATATAATGTAACATATACGCTACATAAAATATATATTATATTATAAAATACATATATAATATATACATAATACATATTATGAATATATATATAATATATATAATCTAACCACATTTTTAAATATATATGTACTTAACCTCTTTGGGCCTCAGTTTCCACATCTCTGAAATGGGTATTTAAAAATGTAGGCAGATCTGGCCACCAAGACAAGGATGTGTTATTATGTCTTAATTCACTGCCTTCCTCTGAAATCATAACACTGATGTTCTCACACACTTGATCCAAAAAAGGAGGTTTATGCCACGCTGTGCTTTTAAACTTCCCTTCTGTCCATGCTGTCTGTCTTATCCAAATGGCAGGTCCACGGGGGTCTGGGGCCTCCTTTTGTGTCTCTGGTCTGGACTGAGGTACCCAGACTACATCCATTCTGCCTTCGATGACTGGGCTGGGCAGCTGCCTACATCGGCCAGGCCAGGTATAGAGGTGGGAAGGTGGAAGTGCTGTGAAAGCCTGACTCGGCACTGGGAAGGGTCTTCTGAAATAGGCAGGAAGTACCAGGACAGCACAAAGCGGCAGTGCCATGCCAGGACACTGCCCTGATGCAGGCCTGGGAAAGGCCCCAAGAGACCTGGGGGTTGAGGAATGACTGGGCAGATGCAGACAGCACCAGCTGCACTCCACACATTGACAAGATAGCTGGGTTTCCCATGGGGAAGTCCTTTTTCTGCTTTGCTCCACTGTCCTGGCCAGGCCCACTAATGTATTTACGTAAGAATAAGAAAAAAACTGGAGGGAAGTGGGATGGATGGAGGGGCAGGAAAGGAGCAACCAAGACTACTTCAAACAGGAGAGAACCAGGCAGACAAATAGACACAGCAGGGTAAAAGAAACCCAGGGTGCCAGCCCCACACACCAGAGGCAGGCCCAGGTGTGGGCCGCTCTGCACAGATACTTGGCCGAAGGAAGCTTTGGCATCTGAAAGGGTGCTTTTCAGTCTGTTAACAAACTTCCAAACCAAAAACCAAATCAGTTGCCATCGAGTCAGTTCCCACTCATGGCACCCCATGTGTGTCAGAGTAGAACTGTGCTCCATAGGACTTTCAATCGCTGATCTTTCAGAAGCAGATTGCCAGGCCTTTATTCTGAGGTGCCTCTGGGTGGACTCAAACCTCCAATCTTTCAGTTACCAGCCAAGCACTTGACCATGTGCACCACCCAGGGACTAACGAACTTCAGTGAATACTAACCACATGCCAGAAAGTATGGTAATTCCTGGGCACATGACTGTGCAAAGCTCATCCTGCCCTCGAGGCACTTACCGTCCAGTGAGGAGGACAGACATTAAACCAGCCAAACAGTAAAGAGATTTTTTCGATGGTGAAAGTACAAGAAACAATAAACACAATACTAGGGAAGCCTCATCTCATCTTGGGCTCAAGGAAGATCCCTGAGAGGTCAGATTTAATCAGAGACCTGAAGAAGAGGGAGGAGTTAGCCAAACTTTATTGACTGATTCATTTTTGGAGGGGGTGGTATACAGAAATCATCTCCAACAGAAGAAACTGCCTTTAGTAAGGTCCAGGGTCTTCAGAGTCCAGAGAAGTACAAAGACGTCAGAAGGACAAGACTGTAGCAACCTAGCTGAGAAGGGTTAGAGATGGCCAGAGAGGAAGATGAGAGCTAATGCTGGGGAGGGAGATGCTCTAGGTCCCATCAGGAGGGCAAAGGAAGCCAAGTAAGGATTTCATATAGGCAAAACAAAACATGGTCTAGAAAATTCATGTGACAGGATCCATGCTCTCCAACATCAGAAAGATGGGAGGTATTCGCCTGGGCCCCCAAAGGTCTAGAGTCTCATAGGACAAATTGTGAGACACTGGGGAGCTTGTGAAGCTTCCACACTCTCAGTGAAGACAGGGCTAGCCAAAGGCAATGGGAGCGGGCTCCAGACAGGAGAGAAATGGCTGAGCATGCAGACCAAGGTCCATTTTGAGTATGAATCACTCCCTTTACAGGACATCTATGGCAAACACATATACACAGTGCTTTTTAAGAGACAATCTGTAGACTATGTAGACGCAAAGAAACGAGTAGGTGAAAAGCGCTGAATTTTAAAAGCTGGCCGCACAAAAACAAAAACTTGTACACAAATGTTCACAGCAGCGCTATTCACAATAGCTAACAGATGAAAATAATCCAAATGTCCATCAACAGATAAGTGGATAAATAAAATGTGGTCTATCCATACAATGGAATGTTATTCAGCAATAAAAAGGAATGAAGTACTGATACCTACTACAACATGGAGAAACCTTGAAACATGCTAAATGAAAGAAACCAGACACAAAACACCACATATCATATTATTCCAATTCACATGAAATGTCAGAAGAGGCAAATCCACAGAGACAGAAAGTAAATTAGTGGTTGCCTAGGGGTGGTGGTGGTGGTGGTGATGTTTGCACAACTCTATGAATAAACTAAAAACTATTGTACACTTTAAATGGGTGAATTGTACAGTATGTGAATTATATACCAAACACACTCTCCATTTTCCAAATTGCTCTTGCATCTAGAACAGGGGTTGGCAACATTTTTCTATAACAGCCAGACAATAAACTACTCAACTCTGCTACGTAACTACTCAACTCTGCTGCTGTAGCAAAAGCAGACATAGACAATATGTAAATGATTGAGCATGGCTACGTTCCAATAAAATTTTATTTACAAAATTTACAAAAACAGGTAGCAGGCTAGAAAATATCCCTCAATCCACACAACCCCCTTATCAGGAAGACAGGGCAGGTAATGCTTCTGTGGTGGTAGGAGCTCTGAAAAGCTACATGACTTGTCCAGGTGACTAACAACTTGTAAATGGTGAGTCTTGACTTCATTTGGTGTTTGCTGCCTCTCCAGAGCATCCCCTCTGCATCCAGAGTCAACAGACCTCTGACAAGCTAGTACAGAGACCTAAAGCACCCTTCTCCTTTCAAAAACCTTCAATAGTATGTTCATTCTTAAAGGGTCAAATTCAATCTCTTTACCAACTGAAGCCTTAACCAAGAAGGCCCACAGAACCTCACCCTGATAAGGTCTTTGTAGAGCATGCACTGACCTGATTTATGGGTCTCCCTCCCACTGTACCTCATTCATTCATATTTTCTTTCATGTTTGACCACCTACCATCTGCCAGGTACTGCCAGGAGCCTAAACTAGCAAGTCTGCAGTAGAAAGGAAAAGGAAAGGATTGATCAAGTGCCACAATGATGGAAAGCAGGCGCCCACAACCTAAATCAACCCTTTGCTTTTGCCAAGGTGGTGAATGAACACTTGAGCATGTCTCCTTTGCTCATGCTGTGCTTTCCTGGAATGCCCTTCCTTCTTCCTCTTTACTGGCTCATCATGGCCCACCTCCAAGCCTTTCATATGGGTCCTGATAGTTGAAAACTCCCTGCTGCATCCAACTCCCTTCCCCATTTGTATAAATTTATGGAACTTAACAACTGGAAGGCCCCTCAGAGGTGGTCTAGTCCTTCAACTCACAGAGGAAAATGAGGCTCAAAGGAGTAGTGGCTTGCCCAAGATAAGCGAATACCTCAGACATAAAGCCAGCATTAGAACCCAGATTTGTACTCCTGCCACAAAGTCAAACTGCCCATGTTCTGCATTTTCTAAAGCAGGCAGTGTACGGCCTAGCCCCTCAAGCCACGCTCACTGTCACCTCTGGACGTGTTCTAGCTACCCAACACTTCTTCCCTCTCTTCACCAAACTCCTTCTCATCTATCAAGGCTCAGCTTAAATGTCCTTTCACCCAAAACCCTTCTAGACCCTGAACCCCCCACCCCCAAGATGGGACTTAGGTGCTTCTTTGTGTTCTCAGTTTCTTTGCACATCCCTTATAACAGGGTATTATAACCTCTATTTAATCAGGATATTATAATCTCCTGCCCTCACCAAGGTGGGGACCACTCTTTTCTTGACCTCTGCACCTCCTGCCCCAGCACAGGAAAACCAACAGCCTGGAAGCAGAATGTTATTACTGTTCATTTACCGTAGGGAGTCACTCCGACTCTTACTCTAAAGCCTAGCCCCTGCAGCAATACTACCTTCTTCTAGGCTTTATCACAATCATAGGTGGAGGAAGGAGGCACTTGGTGTCTACTCCCATTTACCAGAGAAAGCTAGGGACGGCAGGGGTTCCGGTAGGTCGCCCGAAGGGAAGGCCAGCAAATGTGGTGCAGACGAAGTGGCCAGGAGGGAGGACTGCAGGCCTGGGTTCCAGGCCCTTCCTGTGTCGGATCCTGGGCTGGGCGCTGGTGACACAAAAAGCGGTCAAACAGCCGGCCTTTACCCTGCACAACCTCTCACATAGTCGGCTCGGTGACCCTGGTGAAGTCCTGATCCAGAACCCAAATGTCCCCATCTGAAAACAGGGATGACATCTGCTTTCGTTACAAGCTTTGAGAAAAAGCGGCGCGAGCCAAACGTCAATGTTCGTCTTGTGCGTGACGCGATGCGTACCCTCTCGCAGTCCCTACACGTCTGTCTGCATTTCCCCGGTCTGTGGCAAAGTCTGAGCCCTGAGCCCACGCTAACCTAGCTCGGACTCTGGCCCAAACAGGACGCGCCCTGGCCTCACCTTTTGGGGGGGCGTAGGCCCGGGCTCGGAGCTGGGGGATTGGCCCCGGCACCACGGAGCAGATGGGGCCACCCAGGGGCCATTTCAGGAGGCGGGGCCCCCAGTCCCACAGCTGAAGGCAGCTCCGCCACATCACGCCCAAGGGCCTCAGAGGACGTGCGGAGCGAAGCCTGAGCGCACCACACACTGAGCGGAGGGAACCCACGCCGCGCGCTGGCTGTTTCGAAATTTTTCTCACCAATTCCCAGAGCCCTCATTTACCCTGGGCGCCGCCATCTTCCTCATGACACCACTAGCAAGCAGTCGCTCCGGCGCGCAATCAGCATCACAAATGCACGTCGCCCCGCCCTTCCACACCGCGCCTCGAGAAGAAGACTACAATTCCCAGAGGGCCGATCGCGCACTCCGCCACGTGTTTTCTCCGCCCACCAATTGGCGGGCGCGCCGCGTGAGCCTGTGCCCGG